CGCAGGGTCCTGTCTTCTCAGGACGTTACCTTTGACGAGTCAGTCCCTTTCTACCGCCTCTTTCCCTACCGCATTGCCCCTCTCCCTCCCCCGCCGCTCTTCCTCACTCCAGGTCCCCCTCCGGTAGACCCCCTTCCCCCCCAGGGTCCTGCTCCTTCAGGTGTGTCTCAGGTAGACCCGCCTCCCTTTGCTGAGCCTATCGAGGTCACTAGTGACTCAGGTGCTGCTGAGGGTGGTACTGCTCGAGGTGCTGCGTCTGGGGGTGCTGAGCCACTGCGTGAGGTGCTGGAGGGTGTAGAGCCTGGGGGTGCTGTGCCGGTGCGTGAGGTACTGGAGGGTGCGGAGCCTGGGGGTGCTGTGCCGGTGCGTGAGGTACTGGAGGGTGCGGAGCCTGGGGGTGCTGTGCCGGTCCGTGAGGTGCTGTAGGGTGCGGAGCCTGGGGGTGCTGTGCCGGTGAGTGAGGTCCCGGAGGGAGCTGGACCGATTTCTCGCCGGCCCCTTACGCCAGCGGAGCTGCGGGAGTGGTTTGCGGTTCGTCAGCGACTGCGGCGGCGTCCTGGAGTTGGCGGTACTGCTGCTGGAGCTGGCGACACTCGTGCTGCTGACACCACAGGCACAGGAGGTGCTCGTACTGGAGGTACTCGAGCTGCCGGGGCCGGTGGTGTTGGAGGAGGTCCTGCTGTAGACGCTGGAGCTGGAGGTTCCGGACCTGGGGGTGCGGCTGCTGCAGGTCCTGCAGCTGGAGACCCTGGCGCTGCTGCTTCTGGTTCTGAGGGTGCTGCTGGTGGTGCTGCTGGTGCTGGAGCTGCTGGAGCTGCCGGTGGAGCTGGTGGAGCTGCTGTTGGTGCTGCTGGTGCTAGAGCTGCTGGAGGTGCTACTGGAGCTGCTGGTGGAGCTGGTGGAGCTGCTGGTGGTGCTGCTGTTGGTGCTGCTGGTGCTGGAGCTGCTGGGGGTGCTGCTAGAGCTGCCGGTGGAGCTGGTGGTGCTGCTGTTGGTGCTGCTGGTGCTGGAGCTGCTGGAGGTACTACTGGAGGTGCTCCTGCTGGTTCTGGGGGTGCTGAGCGGCTGCGGCCGTACTTCGTTCCACTCCTTCAGCAGGTTCTTGGTCTCCCGCCCTCTCTTAGTCCACCCCCTTCCTTAGAGTGTCCACCGCCTGTCCTGTCGCCGTCTCAGCTACAGCCTACCTCCCCCCTGCCTGCTCCGTCTCCTTACGCTGGTCCGACAGGAGGTCTTGTCGAGCGTCGTGAGCCTGCGTCTCGTCCTGCGTCGCCTGTCCGTGCTGCTCGCACTGGTGGTCGTAGCTCGCGTCAGCGTTCTCCTCCTGTCCCCGGCACGCACCGGATGACTCTGCGTCCTTCCACTGCTCCTCAGCGTGCCCCTCTGCCGTCTCCTCCTGAGTCCTCTCTTCCTGTCCTTGCTAACCCGGAGTCGGACTCCCTTCGTGCTGCTAGTCCCACTGTCACGCGTCTCCTGGCTACTGTTGTCACTGACCCTTCCTTTGAGTCTGCTGCTGCGTCTGCGCTGGTTGCCGAGCTTGTCAACTTTGCTGCTCGCTGTCGTCTAGACTACGCTGCCAGTCTTGTTGCTGAGTCTGAGTCTGTCTGTCCTCCGTCCGTCGGGGGTGAGTGTGCCCTTGGCACGGACGTCCTTGAGGACAGGCAGGAGGAGTTCCAGTGTCTGGCTGCTGCTTCACCTCATCTCGTGTCCATGCTGCTTGCCCCTGAGGGAGACCCGGATGCACTAGACATCCCAACTCCGCGCTCTTACGCAGAGGCGGTTGAGGGTCCCTACTCCTCTCAGTGGCAGGCAGCCATGGACGCAGAGATGGCTTCCTGGAAGTCCACAGGCACCTACGTCGACGAGGTTCCCCCACCTGGGGCGAACATTGTCGATGGCATGTGGATCTTCAGGGTGAAGCGGCCGCCGGGTTCTCCGCCTGTCTTTAAGGCGCGTTACGTTGCTCGTGGCTTCAGTCAGCGGCAGGGAGTTGACTACTTTCAGACCTTCTCTCCCACCCCGAAGATGACCACTCTTCGGGTACTGCTGCACGTCGCTGCTCAGCGTGACTACGAGCTTCACTCTCTTGACTTTAGCACAGCCTTTCTACAGGGCAGCCTGCACGAGGAGATCTGGCTGCGCCGCCCACCTGGCTTCACTGGGTCGTTTCCCCCTGGTACCCAGTGGAGCCTCCGGCGGCCAGTCTACGGTCTCCGCCAGGCACCTCGTGAGTGGCACGACACACTGAGGACTACATTTGCAGCTCTTGGGTTTGCTCCTTCTACTGCTGACCCGTCGCTGTTTCTACGCACCGACACTTCACTGGCGCCGTTCTACATCCTCGTGTACGTCGACGACTTGGTCTTTGCTACTGCTGACACTGAGGCACTGACTCTAGTGAAGTCGGAGCTGCAGAAGAGACACACGTGCACAGACCTGGGTGAGCTGCGCAGCTATCTTGGCTTGCAGATCACTCGGGACAGAGCACGCCGCACCATCACCCTGACCCAGTCACACATGGTGCAGCAGGTCCTTCAGCGCTTCGACTTCCAGTTCTCCTCGCCACAGTCCACTCCTCTGCCTACTGGTCACTCGCTCTCAGCTCTGCCTTCGGATGAGTCCGTAGAGCCGAGTGGCCCGTATCCAGAGCTTGTGGGCTGCCTCATGTACCTGATGACCTGCACTCGCCCTGACCTCGCTTACCCTCTCAGCATCCTGGCACGCTACGTTGCGCCCGGGAGACACCTTCCAGAGCACTGGAAGGCAGCTAAGAGGGTGATGCGTTACTTGTGCAGTACGTCAGACATGGGGCTCGTGCTTGGAGGACGGGGTCCAGTTGTCCTCACTGGTCACGCAGACGCTTCTTGGGTTGACGACCTGGCTACGCAGCGGTCGTCTCAGGGTTACACCTTCAGCCTTGGCTCCGGTTCTGTCTCTTGGCGGTCTACCCGCTCTTCTTCTGTTCTCAGCTCCAGCTGTGAGGCTGAGATCTACGCAGGGGCCATGGCTGCACAGGTGCTGCGTTGGCTCACCTACCTGCTGACAGACTTGGGCGAGGTGCCTCGTTCTCCTCCAGTTCTGTACGTCGATAACAAGGCAATGCTTGCCTTGTGTCGCGAACAGAGGTTGGAGCACAGAACGAAGCACATCGTCTTCGCTACTTCCTTGCTCGGGAGCTGCAGCAGCGTGGTCAGCTTCGTCTTGCCTACGTGGCCTCTCAGGCCAACACTGCTGACGTGTTCACCAAGGCACTTTCGCCTCGTGACCATCAGCGCTTCTGTACTGCACTTGGCCTTGTTCCTGTGTCTTCTCACTTACTTACTTCTTGACCTTGCCTGTACTGTGATCTATATTGTATGCCTGCATGCCTACACTTGTTAGGTAGTGATCACTGTACTGTTGCTTTTGCATATATATCTCTGCATGCAGACTGGCCTTGTGGCCCTTTGCTTGTGCTCAGATTGTGTGGTGACGTTGTGATCCACCCTGAGCTTGCTTTGTTTCTTGACTGGTCTTGTGACCCCTTGTTCTCCCCCACTTCGCCTATGGGGGTGTGTCAAATGATATATATGTTTAGGCTGTAGTGGGGTAGTCAATATGAGGTACAGCCCATTCTAGGGTTTCATATTTGTACCAAACTCTTTCATAATTCACTCATTCCTGCTTAGTACTTTGATAGTTTTAATAGGACAAGGGCCCCCCTCGGGATTGGCGAGCTCCTGACGACATCCCAGCGGCAAACTAGGCCGAACTGGCATCCCTGGGGCCTCGGAAGCCCTCGGGATTGTCGACATTTTGACGACCTCGGGTTTCGCTAAGAGAAACCCAAAAAGTATATCTCAGCGGACAAAATAGGACAGCTCGCCACGTCGAGCCACGACTGCTACCACGCGGCCCAATAGGGAAGAGCCAGATCGTCCCCAACGTGTACAGGGCTGCCACGACGTGGGCGTCGTGGCCACGCGTCGCTCCACTGGTGAATGTTTCGCGCGGGAAGTCGACGTTCCCTCCAAAATTGTTGGCGCGCGATCCACGCGGCTCAATTCGGTCCGTCAAAGATGTAACTGTCCAGTGGCATCGCGGGTTGCAAGCGATGTCGGTGTCGACTTAGTCATCCGACGGCCCACAATCGAGCCACGCGGCAAATTCACAACAATGTCCAGGTTAAATGAGCGAAGCACACACCAAAGCGCACCGCATGGTAGTCGGCGCCGATCACGAGGCGCTCTCGGTAGGGTTGCCACGCGGCTCTTCAATAATCCAGGGCCCCTAGGATATGGAAGTCGGCATGCCGTAATTTCCGCAGAGAGGCACCAACGTCGGTCCCATGCCACGTAACACACGCCCATTCTACCGTGGAATGGCCCAGGCTTACGCCACTTGGGTGCAGCGCGGCGTCCCGTTAGCCATGCTTGGCACGTGGCAAGTCGAACACTGCGCCGCCGCACGAGAACACATGCATAGCGGCAGAAGCATAGGGGGTTGCGTGAAGCGCGGCAGCATCGGAGTCGCTCAGGACCATACCCCTCCGTGACCTTGCGCATGTGCTCAATTCCCTTGTCCGTTCCTGCGTCCCTTCCTGTTCTTTCGTGCACTTAGAATTTTCAGCACTGCTTGTCTATCATCGCGCCTGTAGGTTACTCGGTTGCCGACTAATCAATCACGTCGGCACATGTTGCTTCTACCTGGCACCCACCAATCAGGTCGATGTTTAGGTAAACGAGTCGGCGACGCATGGCCAGAGGTCGCCCTAGAGCCCAACAGCCGCCACCCATCCCACCCCCCGCCGACTCAGTAGACGCCGACATCAAAGCGCAGCTTGAACGTCTCGAGGTCGAAGCTGAGTTAGACGCACTTGAGTCAGAATTTGAATAAGACTGTCGCGCAACTCTTCGGGCGTACACCGCACCCGTGACTCAGTACCGTCTATGGTTTACCAACCTCCGCATCGCACACGGACGACGGTAGAGCAACATACAAGCTGCCACATGGCCAACGTCGACATGTCCGACGCGGGTCCCCCAACCGACCACAATCCGACCTCTACCCAGGAAGAGACGCTCAAGTTACTCTACGATCTTGACGCGCTGACGCAGATTCCAGACGGGGAGTTCACCAGGGACATTCCCCCACCGCCGATCTTTACGAAGCGCGCTAGTAGATTGACTCCGACCCAAAATGGACAGCCAAGAACTTCGTCGGTACCGGCCGGCTCAGGAAACCAGGTTGATGACGAGGAGGAGGAGGAGGAGGAGGAGGAGGAGGAGGAGGAGGAGGAGGAGGAGGAGGAGGAGGAGGAGGAGGAGGAGGAGGAGGAGGAGGAGGAGGAGGAGGAGGAGAAGGAAAGCGATGACGAAAGCGACGAGCGTCCACAGCGTAGCACTAATCCGCGCACCTTGGAAGAACGACTCAGGCGGGAACTTGAATACATATATCAACTGCTAGGACGAGGATGAGGACGAGGAGAAAATGTCGGTGCCGCACGAACAGTGGAGGGCGACAGACTTCGTGAAGTTCATAGTTCGTGAGTGTAAGCTCGACGCCGAGTCCATCGAGGAGGGGAACAACGCCACGCGAACCCAGCCTGTGCAATCTACAACGGTGCACACGCTCTTCGGGCGCATAAAGGCATGCCAGATGGCAGCGAGAGTGGAGGCGACGCTCTACCGGGAGACGGAGCTGAGCATCATGCGGGAGATATCGGTTGTCAGATCGGAGGTGCGGTTCATAATTCGCACCAAGAACGAGCGGGACATCAAGTAAGTTGAGGTTTAACCCCTGTCGTCCACACTCTGAAGTCGACGCCGCCCTAAATAACCCTTACCCTTGGCTTTGTGGGCAGGAATTGCGCTGACCGACGTCGCGGAACCATCGGCGATGCCTACACCGCCGAACAGTTTTGCCAGATCATGATGAGGGTGCTGCCGACGTGGGCGGCCAAGGCGTGGAACCCGCGGGCAACGACTCCTTCACTGACTCTGTAGAGGTTTCTGCTCGTGAAGGTGCTCACGCTACTCTCCCACCACACTCTCCTACGCGGTGCAAGCATCCGCGAGATCACACTCCCCGACATCTTCTTGTACCGACTGGCGAGCACCTCGTCGGTGAACCCGGAGAACCAGCCGGTCGTCATGGTGATCGCTGCGCGGAACTCGAAGACGTCCAAGGATGCGCGTCTTCATCAGAGCTACGCGGCGTGGCACCTCGAAGCGGAGTTGTGTGCCGTCGGCAAGACCGGCCTGCGATTGCACTTCATCCTCGACCAGATCGGTCAGTTTCACGGCGTTGACTTCCTTCCGCCGCTGGACACCTCCGAGCGCGAGCGGTGGTACAAGAAGCATCTCTTCTTCGCCCGCAACGACGCCGACCAAAATGAGCTCTCTGCGGCAAGCCACCAACGCTGGACGCGGCAGATGTGGGACACCAACAAGGTGTTCCGCAAGAGGAACGTGCACGCCGCTCGAGCAGGAGGGGCCCAGGAGCTGGCCATCGAAGGCACGCCGCGCGCCGAGATCGCGGAGCTGGGTCACTGGGCGCTCGACAAGATGACGCGAGCATACATCACCGCCATTCCGGTGGGGGTGGTGATGATGAAGGCCGGTTACTCTGGTTACAAGCAGGACTACTTCTTGGGTCGGAGTGGGGTGCCGCTCTCCGAGAAGCTCCTGAAGCTCATCGCCGAGCACATCTTCCCCGCCGTCGACGCCATGCTGAAGAAGGTATGTTAAGCGACGCCAACGTAGCCTTGTCTTCGTGTCGTGTTGCCGACCGTACCTGAACATCCAATGCACATGACGAATTGCAGGCGGAACATCTCGCTGCCAAGGGGTCCGACGCCGACAAAGCCGCCGTGCACTTCTGGCGTACCCTCCAGATGCTGCGCCGCATCGTCGCTGAGGACCTAGCGGTGAGGCTGGTCCGCACACCATGGCACCCGTACGTCCAAGGTTCCAAGCTCTGCCGGATCCCCCTCTTCCAACACTGGGCGAAACGGGTCGAGAGCATCAACACCAAAACGATCAACAAGCGCCAAAACCTGACCCAAATTCAGGCAGAGGTAAGTCGACAATAATGTGGCGACGAGATGTATCGAGTGTATTCAAAGCCACCTCGCAGCTAACGTCTTTGTCCTACCACTGCAAGAAATCTCTGTCCGCTTGGACACCGAGTACTACAACATGTCCCTCAAGGAGACGCTGAAGTACGAGATTGAGCGCTCTGCCAACAAGAAGATTGACTTCCAGAAGGAGGTCGAGAAGCACGACGGCACCATCGCGTCGCTCACCACCGAGATAACCCGTCTCATCGAGGCACTCCGTGTGTCAGAAGCACGGAGAGTGCCGGAGTCTCCGCTGTCAAACATTGTATATGTTTCTGTTTTGTAGGCTACAGTGGGTTAGCCTTTAGGGGGTACATTTCTCTAGGGTTTCATACTTGTACTCCCAAATGTTTCTAGTTGATCACTTCTTGTTTCTAACATGGTATTAAGAGCTTAGGTTCTAGACCTAGGACCACTTACCTAAGGGCCCACCGCTAGAAGCGCCCTCGAGCGCCGTATCGACTTAGCGCCCTCGAGCGCCTCTCTCCTAGTGCGCCCTCGTGCGCCTCTCCTTCTCCTGCTGCCCGTGCGCAGCTCGCTAGTGCTGCGCGCGGCCTTTTTTTTTTTTTTAGCGCACGTAGCCCGCTAGCAGCCCGAGCGCGGCCTTTTCTGCGCGCGTGCCGACCGTTAGCCGCCCGCGCGACTAGCGCCGCCACGAGCAGCCCGCTAGCCGCCCGTCGACCGGCCCTCCTGGCCGTCCAGAGCGCCGCAGACCCGCCCGTAGGCCGCCGCGTCGCCCTCGTAAGCCGCCGCCCGCGCTCGACTGCAGCCCACGCACAGCCACGGACCGCCCGCTACAGCCGTCCGCGCGCAGGCCCACCGTCGCGCCGTGCCGCGTAGCCTAGTCCGAGCCGCGCCGCGCCGCCCTGCCCGAGCCGCGCCGCCCGAGTCGCGCTGCCCGAATCGCGCCGCCCTGACCGAGCCGCGCCGCCCCACGTGCAGCACCTACTGCTCCTGTTCCTGCTACTGCTACTACTGCTACTGCTACTGCTACTGCTGCTACTGCTACTGCTACTGCTGCTACTGCTAGTGCAACTATGGCCAGTCCCACTGTTCTCACTTTTGACGCAGAGGGCCGACCAATTAAGTTTGATGTCTGGCTCGATGACCTACACCTATCCTCCAGATCACTGCCAAGGACGACGTTTCCCTATATGACCACACGTCCGGCGCTGCCCCTGCACCTGCTGCAACGGCTGACAGTACTGCTCGCTTACAGTGGCAGACTCGTGACGCCCATGCTCGCCGCCGTTCGCAGTCAACTGCCGTTAGATGAGCGCGAGCACTTCGGCCAGCATAAGACCGCTAAGGAGCTGTACGATGCTGTAGTTGCACGCTACTCCTCCCCTGCTACTGCTGCGATAGGTCGTCTCTCACTGCCCTATCTCTTCCCGGATCTGTCTGCCTTTGCCACTGTAGCTGACCTCATCACTCACCTCCGTACTAGTGATCTCCGCTACCGTGCCGCGCTCCCCCCCGATTTCCTAGCCAAGAACCCCCCCCCGATGTACCTCACCCTCTACCACCTAGTCACTCGCCTCCCTGACTCTCTTCGCGCTGTCAGGGACCACTTTCTCGCTCTCTCCCCCACAGACCTCACTGTCGACCTGCTCGAGAAGGAACTCCTTGCAGCTGAGATGAGCATTGTAGCTGTAGGTGCCTCTCGTGGAGACCCTCGCACTCCCTTCTTTGAGGGATGTTCCCCCTCCCCCCTTCTCCCCTCCATTGCATCTGCTGCTGCTGTCGACTTCCTAGGTGCTGAGGGGGTCAGCGCTGCGTACGCTCCCAGTGGGCGGCGCAAGGGCGGCAGGGGCAAGGGGGGCCGGGGTGGCGGAGGTGGCGGCGGGGGAGGTGGTGGTGGAGGGGGTGGAGGGGGCGGCGGCGGTGGCGGCGGTGGTGGGAGTGGTGCTGGTGGTGGGGGGGGCAATGGCGGAGCCAGGGGTGGTGGAGGCGGCGGTGGTGGAGGTGGTGGGGGTGGGGGTGGCAGTGGTGGCGGCGGTGGAGCTGGTGGAGGGCGCGGTGGAGCGGTGCAGCGTGGCGGGTTCGGCGGCGGCCAGAGGCAGCAGCAGCAGCGTCCCAGCGAGACCCAGTCGCCCCAGCAGCTCCGTGAGTGGTACTCTCAGCGTGGGGGGTCTGGGGGTGGGGGTACTTGCCCGTACGTCATCCGCACAGGTGACCGCACTGGCCAGACCTGTGGGAGGTTTCACACGGCGCAGCGATGTTTCTTTCGCTTCGACGACGCCTGGCGCGAGCAGTTTCCTGACGCCTCTGAGCTGCCCCGCTGAGCTGATCTGCTTAAGAAGGGGATCGATATCTTTGCTCTTGATTATGATGCTATCCTTGCTGCTATGTATGCATTGACTATTAGTGTTGAGGGTGACTGTTACCTGAGTGTACCGCCCGACCCGGGTATTGGGACCAGTGAGGCTGCAGCTCTAGGTGCTAGTGCGTCTGCTGCTCTAGGTCCTGGTGAGGCTGCTGCCCTAGGTGCTAGTGCGTCTGCGTCTGCTGGTACCGCGCCTACTGAGGCACTGCACACCTTCACACTGGACTCAGGTGCTTCCCGCTGTTTCTTTCGCGACCGCACTGCCCTAGAGCAGCTTCCTAGACCGGTTGCTGTCTCCCTGGCTGACCCTTCAGGGGGTCCGGTCCTTGCGACCTCCACCACTGCCCTCCCTTGTCCTGCTGTCCCGTCTGGCACGCTGTCGGGCCTTTACCTCCCCTCGTTCTCTACGAACTTGGTGGCGGGTTCCGCGCTCCAGGACGCGGGTGTTCACCAGTTCACCCCTGCCTACGAGCGTGTGACGCACTGCACGTGTGCCCAAACGGGTCGTCACCTGGCTACCTTCACTCGGCAGCCGGGGTCGGACTTGTACACACTGACCACTGAGTCCTCTCAGGTAGCTGCGTCTGCGTCTGCGTCAGGTCAGCTGTCGGCCCCCTGCTCGTGTCGCTCCCTGTCGCACAGGACTGTCCTCTGGCACCACCGCCTTGGTCACCCGTCAGTGCAGCGCCTTCGCGGCATGCACTCCAGGTACCTTGTCTCTGGTCTTCCCAGGGTTCTCCCTCCCCTCCCACCCTCACCTGCTCCTCCCTGTCTTCCCTGTGTCGAGGGGCGGCAGCGCGCCGCTCCTCACTCTTCCTCGTTCCCTCCCACAGAGGCTCCCCTGCAGACTCTCCACCTGGACGTGTGGGGCCCCGCCCGCGTCCGGGGACAGGGCCACGAGCGGTACTTTCTGCTGGTCGTCGACGACTACACGCGCTACACCACGGTCTTCCCCTTGCGTACCAAGGGTGAGGTCCCTGATGTCTTGATCCCCTGGATCCGCGCTGCTCGTCTCCAGCTCCGCAAGCGGTTCCAGTCGGACTATCCTGTCCTGCGTTTGCACTCTGACAGAGGTGGTGAGTTTTCCTCTGACCTCTTGGCAGCCTACTGTGCGGAGCACGGCATCCGCCAGACGTTCACTCTCCCGGCCTCTCCGCAGCAGAATGGGGTTGCTGAGCGCCGCATTGGTCTAGTCATGGAGGTCGCTCGTACCTCCATGATCCATGCGGCTGCCCCTCATTTCCTGTGGCCGTTTGCAGTGCAGTACGCCGCGCATCAGCTCAACCTCTGGCCCCGTGTCTCCGTTCCGGAGACCTCGCCCACCCTGCGTTGGACGGGGGAGGTTGGCGATGCGTCGGTGTTCCGAGTCTGGGGATGTCAAGCCTTTGTCCGCGATCCGTCCGCGGACAAGCTTGTCAGAATCCCAACCACTAGACCATTGGGATAAAAGGGCTTGTTAAGTAGCGGGTCAGTGCGCCCATAACCCCCCATGACAACGAGCATGTAGCCCTTCCCTAGGATCGATCGGGGATCACCAGTGGACCTCTGGCACCCCCCCGCACTGGGATGCCCGAAGTGCACACATTGGGATTCGAACTCGAGACCTTCGCTCTGATACCATGTCAGAATCCCAACCACTAGACCATTGGGATATAAGGGCTTGTTAAGTAGCGGGTCAGTGCGCCCATAACCCCCCATGACAACGAGCATGTAGCCCTTCCCTAGGATCGATCGGGGATCACCAGTGGACCTCTGACAAAGCTCTCCTCCCATGCCGTTCCCTGTATCTTCCTTGGCTTTGTCCCTGACGCGCCTGGCTGGCAGTTTTACCGCCCCACCTCGCGCCGTGTCTTCCCCTCTCACGATGTCACCTTTGACGAGTCGGTACCCTTTTACCGTCTCTTCCCCTACCGCACTGCCCCGCTCCCCCCCCCGCCGCTCTTCCTCACCCCAGGTGTCCCGTCGGTAGACCCCCTCCCTCCCCAGGGTGCTGCTCCCTCAGGTGTTTCCCAGGTAGACCCGGTCGAGCCTGTCGAGGTAGCTGTTGACTCTGGTCCTGGCGAGGTGCTGAGCGTGCTGAGCCTGGTGGTGCTGGGTCTGGGGGTACTGAGACTGGGGGTGCTGAGCTTGGGGGTGCGGAGACTGGGGGTACTGAGTCTGGGGGCGCGGAGACTGCGGGAGCTGAGCCTAAGGGTACTGAGCCTGGGGGTGCTGCGACTGGGGGTGCTGAGCGTAGAGGAGCTGAGGCTGGGGGTTCTGAGACTGACCGTTCTGCGCCTGTTGGCGCTCCCTCTTCACAGCAG